AGCACAACATATCCAAGTGGCTTCCAGTCACAGAATCACAGAATCACAGAATCACAGAATAGTAGGGGTTGGAAGGGACCTCTGTGGGTCATCTAGTCCAACCCTCATGCTGAAGCAGGGTCACCCAGAGCAGGCTGCACAGGACCTTGTCCAGGCGGGTCTTGAATATCTCCAGAGAAGGAGGAGACTCCACAACCTCCCTGGGCAGCCTGGGCCAGGGCTCCGTCACCCTCAGAGGGAAGAAGTTCTTCCTCCTGTTCAGCTGGAACTTCCCAGGCTTCAATTTGTGCCCATTGCCCCTTGTCCTGTTGCTGGGCACCACTGCAAAGAGTCTGGCCCCGTCCTCCTGACACCCACCCTTCAGATATTTATAAGCATTTATTAGGTCCCCTTGCAGCCTTCTCTTCTCCAGGCTGAACAAGCCCAGCTCCCTCAACCTTTCCTCATAGGAGAGATGCTCCAGTCCCCTCATCATCCTTGTAGCCCTCCACTGGACTCTGTCCAGTAGCTCTTCATCTTTCTTGAACTGGGGAGCCCAGAACTGGACACAGTACTCCAGATGGGGCCTCACCAGGGCAGTGTAGAGGGGAAGGAGAACCTCCCTCGTCCTGCTGGCCACACTCTTCTTGATGCACCCCAGGATTCCATTGTCTGTTCACAGAACCACAGAATCACAAAATCACAGAATATCAGGGGTTGGAAGGGACCACTGTGGGTCATCCAGTCCAACCCCCTGCCGAAGCAGGGTCATCCAGAGCAGGCTGCACAGCACCGCGGCCAGGCGGTGGAGTCTCCTTCTCTGGAGATATTCAAGACCCGCCTGGACGCGGGTCTTGGGAACCTCTGCAGTTCAATATACTCATAAAAGAGCTGGAAAAGGGAGACAGACGATAGTGATGTGCCAAAACTGCTGACTGTATAGAGTTATTCCAGGTAAGCGAAAGTAGACATGGCTACAAAAAGTTGCTGAAGAATCTGACAGTATCAAATGTCTGGGCAATGAAACAGCTGCTGAAATTCCATGTCGATAAAAGTCAAGTGCAGGGACAATGGGTTTAAATTAGCCAGCAAAACAGGTCCTGGCATCATTGCAAATGGTTCTTTGAAAATGTCTGCTCAGTGCTCAGCAGAGGTCAGAAAGGCAAGTGGAATGCTAAGAATTGCTGGGAAAGAGATGGAGAATAGAGGAGAAAATGTAAGAACACCACTGAATAAATCTGTGGTGATCTTGAATAGAATGCAATTCCAGTCACCTCATCTGAATGCAGCAGTGAAAAAGAACCAGAAAAGATGCAGAGGAGGGTGAGAAGGCCGACTGGAGTTATGAAGTGGGGAGTCTAAGCCTGGGAAGTTTGCTGAAGAAACGAATGAGCAGGATTAAGGCAGAGGTGTAAAATCAAGATCGCTATGGAGAAAGTGAATAAGGAATATTTTTTTGCAGCAGAGGATGCAGTGGCATGGCTGGCAAGAAGCTGATAGTAAACAGCAGGAAAAATCTTTCACAGGCTATAATAAATTAGGAAACTCATTAAACAAAATTGGTGGCCTCAAGTTGCGTCAGGGGAGGTTTAGATTGGACACTGGGAAAAATTTCATTACTGAAAGAATGGTCAGGCATTGGAATGGGCTGCCCAGGGAGGTGGTGGAGTCCCCATCCTTGGAGGGGTTCAAAAAACCGTGTAGATGTGGCACTTCAGGACATGGTTTAGTAGGAATGGTGGTGTTGGGTTGACAGTTGGACTTGATGATCTTAGAGGTCATTTCCAGCCTTAATGATTCTATGATTCTGTGATTTTATATGCTGGAAGTACAGGCTGTTTAAAAAAGTCATAGTGCTGAGGTTCCCGGCATTGGCTCCAACTTGTTCCACCACCACTTATCCCGATGTTCTGAGCTGGCCATGTCCCCAGTGTCCTCTACACCTGGGTGAGATGCCGGCTCTGGTTTGGTTTGGCCTCTTGCTGGTCAAACCTGCCAGGTTTTTAGGGCTGAATTCTAATTATTCAAAGGATCATTGTGAGCTTCTTGTATGTCATCTCCTATGACAAAAGCTGCAGAAATCCCTTGAATGAATTAATGAATTAATTGTCTTTGAATTACAGTCAAATATTGGGGGGGAAAGATCTAATAGTACCTTAAAAATTTCCTGCACTGAGGAAAAGGTGCCAAGGGTTAATGACACTCTCCCTAATTTGCTGCTTCCTGTTTCTGCATGCAAAGCCTGCAGTAGCTCTGTCGGCTGCAGCATCGTAATGGGAGGTCACGTCGGATGGCTCAGGAATTTTGAGACAGCGAGGACTAAAAGGTCTGCTAAAACAGGATTATCATCAAATTATATCTGCCTCGGCGGCAGCAGATCAATCAAGAGAGGGCTGATTTACACCTACCGGAGCCAGCACATCATGAACTTCATCATCTTTCCCAGTGATGTTTTTATCTTTGCATCGGCACAGTCGGTGCGAGGAAAATATTTTCCCATTTAAAATCAAAACATTCAAGGTAGTGTTTGGCAGAGTGTCGGAGCCTGGGGTTCCCGTTACTTCTGACAGCAGTGCTGGTATCTTTTGCTAATGACCAAAGTGCAATATAATGAGTTGTCTTGGGCTTCTGCTTTATTCAGCCTGCGGTGTTTTAATAGACTGTTAGTAATTCTGAAAAGGATAAATGATGTTTATGCCCTCTTGTGGTATGTTATTGAACAGAATGGATTTTCTAACTGACAAAATTAGGCCAATGATGGAAAAGTCCCAGGTGAAAATCTGCAACGAATACTGTTTTGCACAGTAGAAAAATATCCATCCCTCCAGCAGCATCCTCATGACTCAGTTAAGGGGAGGAAGTAAATTTTACATGCATTTACAGCAGCAAGTAAATGACTAATGCCCATGATGACAGAGCCTGTGCCATCTTTCTGGAGTGAAGATGATTTAAAAAGTGCTTTTCTTTGCTAGGAATGTTAGAAAGTAAGTGAAATACTGCTTTCTGAAAGCGGTCATGTTGACACCTCTTTGTGGCAGTTGTTGCCGAAGTGTTGTGATGCATACCTGCACATTTTTTATCTTCTTCACTCACACATCCGATGGGTAAATAATCTGGTTCACTTAGGACAAAGCCTGTCCCAAAGATGAAAAACACTGCTGATTTTACATGGGAACATAAGGCCAAATTTCTGTGAAACTGGGCTTGTGTTCAAATACAATGAATTAACCAGTCCACATCTCCCTAACCTGCACTGAGAATTTAAATGTAGGGTGGGGAAATCAAGGGCTCCCCAGAGAGGTCAGTCGTGGATTCTGTATCAATCTTATTACTTTGTTCCTGACTGAGAAATGGATACAGCAAAGTATATCCTCCAGACAGTGAAATTACCAGAATAAATCAGACTAACGTTCTACAAAGTCCAGCCAGTGGTCTCTGACTGCGGTCTGTACTTAGCTGTGCTGAAGCAGGAGCTAGGAAACCGTGTTCTAATAAATTTGAAGACTTTTTTGGTCCCAAATAATCACCTATTATTGAAGTGTTAGCTAAAGCTGTGCAGAAGCATAATTTCCGTTACATTTCATCTTTCCCTCTGCCCAGCCACCAATTATGTAGAAGACTGTTGTAAAGAGGAAAGGAATGATTTCCTCTCCAAATCCATGATGCGTACCACCAAAATGGGTTTAAACGAAAGTGGTGGGCTGAACTGGGCTAGGCTTTAGGAGAAACTCTCCAGCAGGATGGTCAATATTGGAATGGCCTTCTTGAGGAAACTGAAGGATCTTCATCTCCAAAGATCTTTCAGAAACAGTTAAACGAATGTTTGCTGGGAGTAAGACAGCTATCATTTGTTGTATCATGATGAAAGAAGTTGGACTTGATGACTTACAACAGGTTTACCAGCTCTGGTTTTGTGTTTCTGTGTGAGGATTTGCTATTATTGGTTTTATTTGTTAGTATGATGGGAGAAGACATATTTATCTGGTGATCTTAAATGCTAACCCTTTGTTCTTACAGTTGATCTTACTGTCAAGTCTGGCTGACAGCAATGCAATTCTATGTCCAGGACTTTACAAGTATGCTTTGCAGCAGTAGTCTGACACCAATTAAAGTGCTTATTAGGTTATCGTGGACTTCAGTCACCACAAGTTATGTCCCCCCTGAGATGGGAATTGATCCCAAAATGTTGATGCTTACCAGTTTCCTTAGAAAAGGAAAACTCAGCAGAATAAAATGTCATGGCAACTCATGTTAGAAAGAAATTTCCTCTGTCAGAAACCTTTCAGGAGTTTCAAATTCAGTTAAGGGATATCAGAAAGAAATTAAAGTCTAATTTAAAATCCCCACCTACATTCCTTCTTCTTCTCCTGCAAAGCGATTATTTCTCCTGGTCCATGTATTGGCAAATCTTTCAGAAATGAGCCATAATTTGCCTTAAAAATACCTTTGTGGTCATGATGGAATTGTTATTTTTGAAGAATGTGTTTGCAGCAACTGTGTGAAAAGAGCCCGAATGCTCTTATTTCTCAATGTCATTAGTGGGCCTAAAATTTCACCCAGAAATTCTTCATGGCTAAGGACATTTGGGGTGGACAGCACATTTCAATGGTGAGGCACCTGCCAGGCGAAGTTCTTGGATGCTGCAAGACACCTGACCAGGCTTGATCAAAGTGTGCTCTGCTGCCTTTCACATTTGTTTTCTGGTTTTGTTGATGGCACCACATCCCTGCCTGGCATGGCCAATAAAGAGGAGAGAACAAATGTGCGGCCATAGCAAATTAAACAAATGAGCCATTAAAACAGGAGGGTGCACTACCTCTTCTCACCAACGCCTGCTTTGGTGCCTGCAGTGCCTCCTAAAATAACAGGAGAGCAAGGATAAAGGGCTTTCAGGGATGTGCTCCAAATGTGGTCCAAGCGCTGAGAGATGTCTGTGGCTCCTGCTGAGAGAAAACCTAACGCCATTCATCAGCAGAGAAGCAAAAAAACCACTAATGGCTTTCCATCGTGTTTCTTGACAGGTATTGACGGAGGGCGGTTTTGGTCCCATCACAACAGAAATCCGGGAGGCTCCAGAGTTTTATTACGCTGAAGATTACCATCAGCAGTACCTCAGTAAGAACCCCGGCGGATACTGCGGCCTCGGGGGAACCGGGCTTTCCTGCCCTGTTGGGATCAAGAAATAGCCTGCGCTGCTCCACTGCCTCCGCTTTGTTTTAGGGAGCTTAAAGACCAACAGCCCCGATCAGGGTTATGATACTCCTGCAGCTTCAGAGCAGAAAGATTTGGGAGCCTGTTAGGGTGGCTTTCTTTAATCTGGGCAGTTTACTATTCACCTCCAGTAAAAGCCAGAGGCAGTAATCGCGCCTGCTGGCAAATACAGCTTCTTGCTCTCTGCAGCTCACCGAGTTTCCTTGCAGTCTTGTGATCTGGGGAGAAAAGAAACTTGTAAAAGTTTGGCTTGAAATGCTGCTAAAAGGATGAATTAGGAGGTGGTTGCACCTGCTAACTGCTTTGCATAGCTAATGCGTTCAGAGGTGCTCATTTTCCTGGGTTAATAAATTTGCTTGTGCTATGGGAGCTTTGACTTCTGGAGGGCTTGAGCCCAAGCTCATCTGAACTATCACAACCCCATAATTTGGTGTCTTTGAGAATGGTGAATTTATAAGATCAGTAATTCTCTCACAATTCCTCTTTCACAGCAACATGCAGTATCACCTATAGTGCCTATTTTCTGCTACAATTTAGTAAGAAAAGTAAAAATTGTAATGTGATACTTATGCTTGACAGTTCCTAAAACTGTATAAACACAAAAAGAAATCAACTTTGGTTCCTGCGCTACAATAAATTACAGAAAATAAAAGAAAAATGTTGTCTGTGGTGCGTTCCGTAGCTCTAAGTATAGATCTGGGTAGATCTAAAATAAGTATCAGATATTATAAAAGGCTGCAGCCTGCTAATTAAACACCAGGGCTTTTAAATCCGTATTATCATGCATGACAGTACAGGGGAGTAGAATTCATATTGGCCACACTGTAACATAATTATTCCTATGATTGATTATTTGTACCTCAGTAACTTGTGAAGCCCCCACCAAGACCAGAGCTCATTATGGCAGGTGCTGTGGAAAAGTAATGTCAGGCAGTCTCTGCCCCGGTACGTGTACAGTCAAAACAGCAGCACAGCCAGAAAGAGTCAAAATATATTTTCCTTTAATTGATGGGGTTCTCAGAGTGGAGACTAAAAGCTACAGCCAAAGGATGTTTTCCCCTCTACTCTGCCCTAGTGAGGCCCCATCTGGAGTACTGTGTCCAGTTTTGGGCTCCCCAGTTCAAGAAAGATGAGGAGCTACTGGAGAGAGTCCAGCGGAGGGCTATGAGGATGATGAGGGGACTGGAGCATGTCTCCTGTGAGGAAAGGCTGAGGGAGCTGGGCTTGTTCAG